ATCCATTTGAGGAAAGAAAGAGATAAGGAGAAATGAGATACTTGCTATAGAATAGTTCCCAGACTCAGTGATTTTCCTTTCAGAATTTCAGTGTCACTGTGTCCAACATCTTTCTCTTATCCCTTAACCTTTCATTTTTGCAGTTGTCAGTGCTCACAGTCCCATAAGCCACAAGTTGCAAATCCAATGAAAAATATAAAATACCAAAATATCGACCAGATGTAAGCGTGCAGGGTAGCAAGAACAGGCAGTGGACACACCTCTCAGTCAGCCCCATCAGCTCATTCAAGATACACATGTGGCTTGTTGTCAGAACTTGTGGTTGCAGCCCAAAAGGATCAGGATCAAAGCAAGAGCTTTCCTAGTTCAAAGCCAAATTTGTGTCTTTGCTGGCTCATTTGAATTTTTCATCCAGACTTTCATGGCTTTCTTGTGTGCTTGTAATTACCACATCTTTAAAACCTGACAATCCCTTCATATGGGCCAAATTCTTTTCTCAGATTGTGCTTGTGCTCTACACAGGGGTCCAAGAAAAGATATACATATGCTCTCTACAACACAAACTTTGGGCCCAGATTTGATCCATTAAAATGCGAATAGAAAAATAAGCAAGTTATGAGTGAATACTTCACAGACAGGAAAAGAAAGTAATTCAGAAGCTTCTGTATAGTATCCTTGGGATCTGATACGTACTTCTAGGGTCTCCAGCAGACATTAGGATAAGTAGATAGTTGAATATTTTCCCTTTGAACGGTAAATCAGCCCAAATCTGCCTAGCAGAAGAATTAAGCTGAAGCTTAATTAATCTTGCATTAGTATTTCCAGTGGATGCATTGTAGGTTCTCTCCTGGTTGGAATATGAAAGCTCCAATCTCCACTTGTGCTCTCCTAACTCCTGCTTAGGGATTAGCTCCCATTGATTTCCATGACTGAGATGATGAGCACCTTTGCAACTCCAAAACAACAAAAAACAGCATGAACTGTCAGCTTCCTCTGGGGTGGGGAAATGCCCCGTAAGTAGAGAGTCAGTGAATCTAAGACTCACTGCACCCACGTGCTCAGGCTACACAAAGTTTGTAGGTCACTTGTTGGAAGTGAAGATTAGATAGCAGAGTTTAAAACAGGCAGCAGGAAGTTTTAAACCTGGTGTGGAGAGAAAAAAGATCTGACCTGGAGATCATGGGGCCATAATCAGTTTTAGCGTACTTTCTACACTCCTTTTACTGGGCACAGAAAGAGATCATAGGGAAGCAGAAAATTGGAAAACACTTATAGAAAGTACCAAAAGGATCTACTTCTTATTTAAACTTTCCATGATATGTGGGTTTTAACCTCATTAACTCTTCCTCAACCAACAGGACAATTGCCAGCCTTTCACAGGTTTTCCATTCCCACACTTCTGGAGGTCCTGTCTCTCTCCTAGCAGCCAGTTAAATTCCCTTAAACATCAGCTTATCCTTCTCTTCTGACCCACAGTTTCCTCTTTCCTCCATTTTATTTCCCTTTTCTTCCCTGATCTCCCAATGTACTTCGTGACCACCTCTGAGCAGAGTCAGCAGCCCAACTCAGCCATAGTGACTCCCATTATCCCTCACTTTCCTCTGTGCGTGCTTAAATCCTTTCCTGACCTCCAGCAGGCCTTCCTACCTTGGGTAATCCCAGCGAGGGGTGCTCACTAGGCTGGGAGTCTCTCCTGGGCCTGCATCAGCCTGCTACATTCAAATCTCATGCTCTGAGGCTTCCTCAGGTCAGACACATTCTGCAGTGAATTTGACCTGGGGAAGCCCTGAAGCACAAGGTATTTGAAAGGAGGATCAGTCTGAGGTTTGAAGCAGAGAAGGGGGGCAGCGGGGTGTGTGTGAGATTCATGTTCAGACCAGGTCTTATTGTTTCTGAACCAGTTTTTCCACTGCTAGCTAACCATCACAGGTACCCAAACCACATTTCCTAAGCTACTCAGCAGGTCAAATTACTTCTTATTGAAGTGGAAATAAGACATGGGGTTTTTTTCCCATTGTTTTCCCTAAAAAGTACTTTATATATAGGTGTGTGCAAATGTACACATGTAAGTGCAATGAAGCGTTTAGAGATTACAATCATTCCCTGAATTAAAACTGATGAATATAAATGTTTAGCATGCTTGTTTAAATTGTGAAAGTAGTATTAATTAGAAATGTTTGTTTACACTGTTTTGGTGGTGTCAAGATGCCTGACTATAACTATCAGGACCTGTCCACCTGTCAAAGATCAATTGGGTTGTTTTAGCATTGTCTGCCAGCAGGAAATCTCTGGGTCCATACAGGCCTCAGATGAATGAAAAAAGAAAAAGATGTGTAAAGAAAAAGAAAAGGAAGACTTTCTAAAACATGCAGTTCTTTATGAAAACCACATGCTTCTCTAAGCTTTTCAGTTGTCATTACTCTGCCATATTTTTGTATTTGTAGAGTTTGAGTATGAAAAATAACTAGGTATGATATAATTATTTTCACATTTAAAACAGAAACAAAAAAAAAAAAATGCTTTCGCCTTAAAACCTTGACAGAAAATAGTTTCATTGCACGAATCAGTTCTTTAAAAAAGGAAACTCATTCTATAAGTAGTTCTCTTATCCAGCTATGCCTAAAATAGGACTGACTCTATCTAGTATCCCAATTATATAATATGGTATATTAAAATAAGTTTCCCTTAATGTTGCATTGCAAAGGGTTTGGAGTCCAGGAACAACGTTGAAATAGGGACAGAGTGACCTTTTAAAAAGAAAAATGAAATGAAATACACTTTCATTTTCCAGAAATATGCATGAAAGTAAAAACTTGACAGCATGGAAGAACATAAGCAAATATATCTTTTTATTTGAAGATAAAAAGAAGCAGGGGCTAGATAGGGAAAGGAAAAAACCTGTGAAAAAAACGGATGATGCAGTTTTTACGAATAAGCAGCTTAATGTATCTTGGCACCCACAGTAAGCCTTGTAGGAGCTCAAAGTGCCTCAGGCAATCTGTGAGCAGAATAGCAATTTTATTACTTTGTCATTAAACCAATTTCACAGCAGTATTGTTTGTTAATGAGCAGCGGCAAACGAGCGAAGATGTCACACACTGGAATAGCAGTGAGATTTGTGACCCAAGCTCAGAGCACTAAGATGGAAAGACCATGGCTATAAAAAAGGAAATACTTTGGGATGAAATGCAAAGTCTATACAGCAGAGCTTGTGTTTATGAGCTACCATTTTGCTAAGAGCTGTGAGAGAAATAAAGGTCTGGAAATATGCAGTTAAAACAGGGCCTATAAAATTAAAACCAAATTAAAGTATAGCAGAGGATTACTGCACAGGCTGTACTCTACAAAATATATTTTAAGTGATGAGGTGAAATCTAAATCAGTTTTGTTTGAATTTGGTTGGTATTTATAAAATCCAATAAAGCCATACCAAATTCAAAACCAGAGCAGCAACCCAAGTCCTGTGGTCTCTGATCTATAAGCTCCACTTTGAAGAAATTCAATTTACCAGTACTTAATTAGCAACTTGTCCTCTCTTTGTAAGCAAAGATAATATATAGCTCTATATAGGAATATAAATACTGGGCAGACGTAATCAGTGTGCCCGCACACGTGCGTGCACACACACACACACACACACATGAACGGAGACACCCTGATCGCTCTGATTCTGTACCAAACAGTGAATCAGAATCACCTAGAAAAGAGATTACATTAAGCTGAACTGTATCATTTGATAGGACTCCTCTTCCTCTTCTTCTTCGTTTTTTTTTTTTTTTTTTTTTTTTTTTTTTTTTTTTTTTTTTTTTTTGAGCCAGGGCTGATCTTACAAAGAGATTGGGAGAGAGCCTTGAGGGATACAAGAAACAGTGCCAAGCAGGCACATTATTGAATCCCTGCAAGGCATCCCGAGGTAAGTTTGCTGCCTGAGCTGTCTTTCCATGTTTATACACAGGGAAAACTAGTTCAAGCAATGCAATAAGTGGATCAGCATGACTGACTTAAAGGAAGAGGGGAAAATTAGCCCACCATTTTGCTCCATTTGCACTAGAGATGGGGAAATAATTTTGCTGTCAGGACTTGCTTCTGAGCCACCTCCTTTCTTTCCGGTAATAAAGCCCCACCCCATTTGTTTCTATTACAATCACATTATTTAGCATAATTATCCTCTTAAAAATATCTAGATCACTATATATGCTTCCGTTCTTCTGCCTGTTTACTACCTCACCCATGAGGATTTCGGCACAGTAGCTACCATACATTTGTGGAATGCTTTAAGGGCTCTGGCAACAGAATAAATTTAGCATATTTGTGCGTGTCTGTGTGCCTGTGTGGATCTCGCTCTCAGTTTCTCACTCTCCGTGCGCGTAGTCAATTTGAACAATGTATTTCACTTCAGTTCACAAGCACGCTGACCTCTCTATCCAGTGATTAATATTTTTAGATGCTTGGTTTCATAGCTTGGTAACTCGTGCATGTTTTCTGCTATTTAACTAAGTGGGTAAAGGGGACGCTGCAGGAAATGCTCATTGTTGAGCAGTAGGCGGTGCTCACAGTTCTGGGAGCTCAGCTTAAGACTGTTTTCTGCCTGACAGGGCAAGACCCCTAGACAAATCCCTGGCTGGGTCTATGGTAGTTGGCAGCCATTCAAAACTGGTTCTCTGCCAGGAGTATTACTAGATAGCCAGACAGATCAATTCACTTTTACATTCCCGCCATTATTTATAGCACACTGTATATCTGCTCTTGCTTATGAACTAATGATTAGCAAATACAGTACACATAAAACATAAGCATTTGTTCTGTGCAAAGCTTTCTGTTGCTGATATTGCAGATAGTTTTACAGGTCACGGAGCCTTAAAAAGGATTTAAAGGGCATGTCTTGTGTAACATTTGTTCCTTTGAAAATGATGCTCCCTTCCTATTTTTGTGTAATTGGAGAGGATAGAAAGGTTTACTTGCTGCTTATGTTTCATTGAATTCTTGCATTTCCCCCTTCTCCCACAGACTACTAAGGAAAACACGTAGGAAGAGAGGCTTATACAGTATTATTTGTTATTTAAGAACTGTAATTCTATGTAACACTTAGGCTTTTCTTTTCAAAAAGATCTATTGGTAAAAACAAACAAAACCAAAACAAAACAAAAAACACATGAAAACCAACAGCCCTGCTTACATTTCAGAAGATGCCAGGGTGACTGCAATTTTGTAAACTGTAGAGAAAGATAGATGATTTGAAAACTTGGGAAAAAATATCACACTTTTACTAGGTCCTTGTGGCTGTTAAAATACTAGTTATAGTATTAAATTGCTTGTTATCTGTGTTTTTGAGCTAGAATAGGAAAGGTCAGCCCAAATCTAAGACACTGGCTTCAAAGCAACACAGCTCTTCAGAATTTTTAAAATCCAGATAAAATCCAAACTTAATGGCCAAATGAATTCCTGGCATAAACACAGGTCTGTGCAATTTCAACATTTTTAGCTAATCTCTGCTACTGGTCTTGCCACAAGTTCCTGACAGGTAGCAATGCTTATGCTTATTACACTGAACATTTTTTCTTTGGAGAGTTCACAACAAGGGGGTAAACACACTTTCACTTCTCCGAAATGAAGTTCAAAAGTTTCAAAACATGAACTCACTGGACTGCCTGAGTTAATTCAAGGTGTGCTGCTGGTGGAGAAATGTTAAATAACAAGGAAATCTGGTAATCTGGTAATTTGGTTTCCTAAACTGTTAGTTAACCTTCGGTCTGGGTTGAGGTTTAAGGGAATATGATGTCAATATGTTCTTAGGAAGTTGTCCCCTTTCCATTTGGCAACAAGTACACCAGAAAACTCTATGTAGCCTCAATTCCCTTATTGGGAACTGGGTATTTACAGGTGCTCAAATCAAGGTACCCTAGGAGTGCAGTGCTATGATAGTTGCTTTCTAGGACAGTGAGAATGCAAAAATTAACATTATAATAGTAATCAGGATAACTAAACCAAAGTGATTTACATCCAGTGAAACCTGGCCCAATGGAACAGTAAAGGTATAATTAGCTTTTCTTACCACTTAACATCAAAAATAAGTGAAGAGGAAGAATAGAAGTGCTTGAACAACATAAGATCCCTAAAGGGCACATGCTCTGATAAAACCTTTCTGCTCAGAAAAATGTGATTAAAGCTGATTTGGGAATGTTTTGCACCTTATGTGATCAACTCCACACTCAGTGCATACAAAAGCCCACAATACCTATTAAGACTATCTTATACTGGCTTTGTATTAAATGATGTATATATCCAAGATGTGGGTCAATGCAGCATCAGGAATGCTGGCTTGGCAGAAGTCAAGTCAGAACTTTCAGAGACAGTCATGTCTAGAGACTGGTATACAAAAGTGAATAATCCAGAATGATAGGCCTTTCTACACCTCTCTGAAAACTCAGCTGTCTTCCTTTTTTTGTCTTATTTGGAGGGTAATGTTGGAATGGTGAACTTGTTAGTTTGATGTTACCAATGATGAAAGAGCATCATTGTTTTTTCCAGGAAAAACTGAGAACTGGGAGAAATTGGAAGGTTTAATGTGTTTCATCTTAAAAAATACCAGTGAAAGCAGAAGGAGATTAAAACTTCGGGTCATCAGAGTGGGGCATTTCTGTATTATCAGAAAAATTATAGTCCAGAATGTCCTTCTCGCCTTAAATAGATTGTAATAATTCTTTGATATCTACTGGTTCTATCACTTCTTTCTTTTCCTTCTGGATTCCTTACCTAAATTTAATGACTGATGTAAAACACAGTCCCATACAGAGTTTCTAAAGTCAAATTTCTGTATTGCACTTGTACAGTAGAAATCTCTTCTTGGCCAAGACTATCACTGAGGCAAGACTTATCAAAAATTCATTTTTCATTGTGGTTTTCAAAACATTGCATTTTGAAGGGCTTTTTATAAACCATCTTTTATCAGACAATATAAAATATGCTGTATTTCACTTGCTTGTTTCAACATAAATCAACCCCCAAAAAAGTTTTTTCAGCTCTTTACATTGTCTGGCCTTGTTCATTTGTAAGCCTGCAAGTTTAATAAAGACTACTTTCCCTGTGTAAGAAGAATATTCCATTTTACATGGAGGGAACAAAGCAAAAAAAAAAACCAACCTACATTTTAAAAGCAATGCTATATCTCAAAAATGAATATATTATATGTTGATAGGCAGAGTGTCCTGTAAAGCAGCCAGTAAGTGCTTTGGAAGACACTGAGAATATTTCTGGGGTTTATATTGAAAAATAAATCAGGAATTTTCTATTAACTTTAAAACCATGTGGAACTTCCTTAACACCGCACTCTTTTGTGAAGAGTAAACTTCACTCTTCAATGTGGTGAGGTCTGTCCATGTATGTTTTCCAGGATGTCTTTCCTTCTCTCAACTTTAACTTTTCAGTGCCTTCTGAAACCCAGTAGTTTAGTCGATCAGAGCTGTAACAGGAGGAGAGAAATGAAGGCACAGTAATTTAGAGTTCACTTCTACACAGGAGAACAATATTTTTTTCTGGGGGTAAAGATGGAGTGCTGCTGATCCCTTGAAGTTCTTGCTACTCAGATCTGGGGAGTGAACTCAGGAAAAACCCACTCATTTGATTCAAGATAAGACCTTTTCTCAGTTACTTTCTGTATCATAAGTCTTTTCCTTGAACCCTCATTTCTCAGACTTTACTCTCTGTATGGATGAAATGTGGATGCCATCTTACTTACAGGTGTTTTTTCCTGAAGTGAATCATTACTTTAGAATTTTTTTAAAAATAAAATTCATGATTGATGTATATGCCTTTAATTATAATGAGCTAAAACAATTTTATGCACAACCCAAAATTTTCACTCTTGCTGACTAACCTATTGGTAAGTTTAGTCAAAGGCCACCAATACAAAGGACAAAGCAGTCTGCTCAGCAAAAGCCAAGATGACTGTTGGCTGACTTGTTCAAGAACAAACACTCAGAACTCACTCCTCAGACAAGGCCTAACTCCATTAGGCTGTCATAGCACCTGCCTAACTCTCAGTCATGTTAATGAAGTTATCCATATGCTTATAGACAGGCACACGCTTAAGTAAACTGCTAAATCAGGGAGAGCAAGTCTCAACAGTCTTTGGCTCATTGAGGTTCTGGAGGGTCATGTTTGCATAAAAGCAATTCTGAGGAAGAACTTCATTCCTCAGCCACATGACTTTCTGTTTATTTGTATATGCCAAAATTCTGGCTTAAATGTAATTTTCTTTTTCTTTCCAAATTTCACAGACAAACCCAGAAACAGTGCTGTGGTTTGAGCACCAGTTTGGCTATAACAATTCCTTTAGATTTGAAATATGATATGATAGTAAAGCAAAATTAAAGATGAGTCCAAAATCACTTCATGAACTTTGGCTGAGGTGTGTGTGTTTTCTGCTGAAATCCAGCATTATATTAATTTCATTTGATTGTGCTTACTGCAAATATTTCCTATAACTCTACTCAGAAACTTCGGGTTCTCCTCTTTTGGAGAACTAGTCCAGGACACCTGACCTGTAGACTTGTTAGTCATAATAAGACAGCTCCTAGAAGCTCCAGCTGAGATTCAAACCTCACTGTGTGCCACAGTAGGTGGGTCAGCTTCAAAACCCTCACATACTTTTATAAATACGACACACATATCTGTTTTATGTACATGGATAGCTTTGGAAATCTGTCCCCTAAAGTATTCAATCACCTGACAAGGTTATAATTGTCTGCACAGCCTTTCTGACAATAAGTATTAATAGCGAAGTCAGGAAGTGGATTCAGCATGTGAACAGGGTACAGACAGTAGACTGTAGCACTGACATGGAGCTGTGTGCTTCCACAGAGGTGTTCAAACAATAGTTAAACACTGAAGCAACAAATTTGAACTGTTGAAAAACTGCAAAAGCTTGTTCTTGGAATATCATACTAACATATTTTTGTATTATGTGACAACATATTATAGCGTAAGATATAAAAGTATAAAAAATATAACTAAAATATGTTAGGTGGAAAAGCATTAACATAACATAAAAACATTTTATTTTTTTTTCCTCTTAAATATAAACGCATTTTGCTGCTTCATTCTCTGGCTTTCCCAGAAAATCACACTGTCCCTGTGTAGATAATCTAAGTGAGGCAGTGTTTGGGGCAGATTAAGATCATATTTTCAAAGAAGTTTTATTCCTTGAGTCTCTCCTCATTGTCCATGTTCCTGTTCTGAAGCCTGTTGAGATGAGCTGCAGTTTTTCCACAGATTTCAGTTTTGAATTTCAAATCAGTCCTCAAATAGCATTTGAAATAATGTACTCAAAGAGCTTTTGCAGGACAACACACAGATATATGTGTCCTGTTTCCCGTAGAGGACTGCAGCAATTTGTGTCCATCTCTTCCTTTTTTCTATGTGTCATGACACAGAGATAATAACAAATGACTGAAGATACTACAGTAACACCACAGAGCTGTAACAACCCTCAATACTCTTCACTAGCATAACTGTGTTTACTACTGTTGACCAGCACATGAAATCACAGAGAAACCACACTACAAAACATGTACCTGACATAGGTGTTTTATCTTGACCTCAGGGCACAGATTTTATGAACATTTACGCCTGCAAATTTGGGGTGTATGAATTGTTTCTGCTGTATATGGTGACTCTAAATGAACAATGTGCAGTAGAAATGCAGGATATACCACCAGGGAGGCAATACAGTGGGGAGTTATCCCCATGGACTCCTCTCCAGCAATGCCCCTCCCCATGTGTTCTTGATGCTTGGTCTGTAATAGCCTACTCTGACCCTGACTTTGCACAATAACTTACTTCCAAGAAACAGCCATTTAAGAGGATGCAAGCTACCTGTGACATGAATTGTTTCAGTGGGAACACAGTATTTTATGCTTACACTGGCAGGCTCAGAAAAGGGCATAAAGGTTCTTGTCTCCGTCCACTGTAAAATAAGCAAAAAATATCAGCGTCAGATAAATCAGAAGGTGCTGTGGCATGCTTCACTTCTGCTGTGAATCTCAAGATTAAGAAAAAGATGACCTGGCAAGGAAGGAATGACTGCTTTAATCAATTTGTTTACTTATAATCTTCAAATACATAAAATAGTTTCATTTAAAGGAAAAAGAGGATGCATGATGCTTATTACTTGCACCTTCCTTCAAGGTCCAATAGTTACTGTGCCTGCAATTTATATACTGTAAAGTATAGAATCATAGGATATTTTGAGTTGGAAGGGACCCATATAATATAAAATTTTGGGAGGTTCTGATCCAATAACACTCCTGATTGTCCCAAAGTAAATTAAGATAAACTTTGTTGTCACTGAGAGGTTTTACACGGTGCAAAGCCAGGAAAAAATCAGCCTTGCCATTCATGTGATGGCCTAGAACTAGGTCCCTGAAAACTGCTAGATCATGACACTCAGAATCATAGAATCATAAAATCGTTAAGGTTGGAAAACACCCCTAAGACCACCAAGTTCTATTGTCAACCTAGCACTACCACCAGGTTCACCACTAAACCATGTCCTCACTTCAGCACACTTCCACCTCTCGTTCTTCTGTAGTTTCTTTCACTAGAAGCCAAAGTGAATTGACTTTGCTATCCCTCTCCCTGGTGTTCACTTCATCAGGCAGATGATGGCATTTGTTTTCAAATGACCCATGCATTACAAAGAATCTCAAGTTCATGTGCTTAATAGAAATAGAAATGTATCTAAAAGAAATCCCTTAAAATAGACTTGGATTAAAACTAAATAGAGCTGAAGTAAAACAAAATGTAGAGAAGCATATGTATTTTCTCATCATAAGTGCAAAAAAGTGTTTTGCCTGCCATCACAATTTCTGAAGTCTACATCAACACTCTTCTCCTTTTTAAACCAGGGATTCTAATAACTTGTATTGAAATATGATCATGGAGATACCACATTCTACCATGTTTTGACTTAAGTTGTGCTTCCCCAACGCAAAATGTGGGTTTGCCCACAAATGTATTTGAACAAGAACCAGTCATTTCAGGTATATGACTTTTCTGTGCACACTCTACAAGTAAATTCCTTCTGTATCTCTATATTCTGCCCTCCCACTTCCAGAGGTCATTTTTTTCTCTCTTCTTTCTGATTGCTGAATTGCATTTCTTTTTACTGTCTGCAAAGGTAAAAGATTATTTATTGGGCTTTTTCAAACCCTTTTCTTTCCTCCCCCCTTTCTGAGGGAAGCATTAACCCAGACAATCATGAGGACATTGTAATTTGTCCATCTACCACTTGGTAAAAGGTTTATCTTATGGATAAAAAAGTATTTCATATGCCAAAATATTTGCAATTTCAGCTCTAAGTTTTCGTCCAGTTCCTACTAGTATTTGCCAAAAACTCAATTACCAGAATTTGTTTTTTGGCTGTTAAAAAAAAGGTGAATCTTGGAATACACATCATACAGTCAGAATTAGTTGTTATTCTCTTTGGTATTCCCTTAAGAGAGACATCTGACTGACAGGGTCCTGAAATTGAAAATGTCTATTTTTCATTTAGGAATTAAATATACAAAAGAAAAAGCACAAAATGAGGACGATATTCTTTTTGTAGCTTTTTTAAAAGCATTAAACCCAAACTTACAGGAGAAAAAGATAAAGATATTAAAGGAAAAAATCCCAAACAACAATAATCAATTAAACATTCAAAAATAAAGAAAAAAAGAGGACAAAAAATTTATCCAATTCAAATGGTGAGGTAAAGTACTTTTTTATGTTCCATTTCACGTCCTGAAGGAACAATAACATTCTTTTGAGAATCAAAACTGAAATCTAGACATTTTTAGCTCACAGGAAAATATGTGTTTTGATTGAGCATTTATATGAGATTAGAATTCTTAAATATCAGTCTAATTATCTGCATAAAAATAATTTTAGAAAGACTTCTGAAAAGTTACATGTGAATAACAGTTACAGAACAAATTGTAAACCAGATTCTAGTAATTGTAGCTAGTGCAATCAGGCCCTCAGCCACCATCAGAATTTCAATCAGAGGAAGGTAAATCCTGTGCTGTGTAGAAGAATGGATATATTAGTAGCTAGATATTTTTCTGCCCTTTATTGTCAAATTGTCTCAAAAAACAATAGAAAATGTATCATGTCAAAACAAGGGAAATGAGAGGTGAGACAGGACAAAAACCAATTATTAATATTATTAACCAACAGAAAACTGGGCATTGGGTAGACTAAGGATTTGGTTATTAGTGAAACTGTAGGAATAGCATGAAATATGTCTCTGAGGCATAACAATAGCAGAGTTTTGTTCTTTGTGTTTGCTCATTACAGTGATATGTATTCATTACTGACCACTATTTGCTATAGGTTTTGATCATTTCAATCCTGGATGTTTTCCTGGCTTCAAGGAGGTGTGGGTGGAAAAGGAGTCAGTTCTAAACTCCGCTCACTCCTACTCTTTCTTTATTTACTTGCTTCTGAAAGAGCAAGTCTTATACCTCTCCCTCCTTTTCATAATCAGAGTCATCATCTACAATTAATTGGTTTATACCAATAAAGAGAGTAGGTAACAGTCTCAAAAGGCAGACACGATACTCTCCAAGTCCTTTGCTCCATAGTCTCTCCTTCCTTTGTATTGCCATCAAAGAGTAAAATAAACATCCATCTTCTTTTCCAGGTTCGCCACGGTGAGTCTGAGTTTCTGTCCCCAAAGATTTTGCATTATATGTTTGCACTATACACTTTACAAGCAGTTATTTTAGTAGCTGGTGGGACCTCCAATGGCAGACTATCCCCTACTCTTGCTGAAGAATGACAACAGTGATTTATTAGGTCTTTCCTTTTTGTAACTACCATGATACTGTAATGAGCAAGTATTCACTTCACACTTCTCTTCCTGATAATCTACTTGTATAGATCTGTGGTTTCCTTTTAATGTCTAGTTCATTAGATGGTATAAATGTGTGCAGCATTTTTAGCTGTGGTTGAGGAAAGCAGGGAATGTTGAGGTTAAGGTTTATTATGACTGTCATGTTCAGGAATGGAGAGCTATATACTATTTCTGCTCTGAGTGTCTGCACATAACTCCAGTTGACACTGGAGTTATGCATTTGCCTGAAAGCTGTTTATCACTTTGTGAGTACTTTCTGTTTCTAGGGGTGATCAGAACAGAATAGATCTGAGTATCAATTATTTTGCACCTCTTTGAAACTTTGCAGCTTGGTTAAAGACAGGATAGCATAGTATCTGTCCTGGGTTGATTATCAGTATCCTTCATTATATTTTACATAGCAACAGGTAATAATTCTGTCCCTAAAACCACAAACACAAAAACATTAAGAATATTCAACAGTGTCATTTATTATGTAGAGGGCACTGTACAGTTGCCTTCCCCTGACACTTGAAATACAAGAGCTTCATGAGGGAATAAACCCCTGAAAGCTTGGTTGCAATTTACTTCTTTACTTCCTGCACACAGTAACAATGATAATTGAATTGAAAAGCATTTTTAAATTCATAAATATATAAGTAGCCATTATCTAGTGGAAAACATATGTCTGACTATAGGACCTGATCCACTACTCAGTTACTCCAATTTTAAACTAATGTAACTCGACGGTAATCAATGAGGGGGCTGTTGTGCAACTGAAGCAGCATAAGGCAAATAACATTTTTAGTATGTGTAAGGGTCATTTTACTTAAAAAGAAGGCTAGCATTTTCATTGTGTGTTTATTTTGGGCACCTTAAACCAAATGCCCAGAAAAAGAGGTGCTCAGAATAACTGTACTTTTAAAGCCTGCTTCTATTATGACTGACAAAAAGCTGAGAGCATTTAGCTATGCATTTCTATTATGGGGAAAAAACATGCTGGGGATTTTTCTTTTAGTGGGGTAGATACTTGTTTTTAAAGTAACCAAATGTAACTGCTCAGTAATCTAATAAGAAAGTGATTTCAGCTGGAATTTGTTTTGATGGTTAAGACAAAACTTCATAGGCTAGTTAATGGAAAGTGGACAGGATGATCTTTATATGTTCATAAATGCAAACAGTTTAAGATCAGAAGGAGACCATTAGAGTCTTCAGTCTGAGCTATTTTCTCTTCAATTTAACTCAAATTATCTCTGCACTGAGCAGACGAGTTTGGCTGAAGGGTTTTTTTTAAAAAAAAAAAGGCATCCCACCTCAATTTTTCTGAAAATCATTGACCCCTGAAGTGTTAATCATTACACTATGTATTAGTAAAGCATGTGTGGAAAGCAGAATCAGTAATCCACAATATAAAGTTTATATAAAACCAACAATCCTTCCCTGCTGCTCCCCCCCAACTCCTATGCAAACCTAGCACCATAACCTAGGGGATGAACATAAGAGAACAGGGCTCTGGTGTTATTTGCACCCTTCTGATAGCTAAGCTTTTTGTGGAGGGTCTGCTGTGGAATTTCAAAGACAATAAGCAAACTTGCACCAGACAAATAAAGTTGCATTCCTTTACATTTTAGATGTGAGACGTAAAACAGATACAGTGCTGCTCAATCCTTTATCAAGGTGACACAACCCCAGAAAGCTTTGATGCTGTCTATTGCAAATCTCATGAGAATTTGAGTAGGAAACGAAATCTGATTAGTTTGTTTGACTCGCCTTTCTAACTACATATATTCAGAAAAGGTTTCTGTACAATTCTCTTCCCCTCTCTTTATTGTGTGGTTTGCTTTGTTTGCTTGAATTTAAAACTGCCATTATGTGAAAGTGTTGCAAGTATAAATAATTTAGAAGATAACTCTGTGGGGATACTAATAATAAGTCCCTGCTTTTTCTAATAGCTACTCATTATGGTTCTGAGAACTAGTATTCAAGTTACACAACATCACCGTGTCACAGATATTGTGGATGTTGACAATAAAATAATTTTGACACCTTGTTAATTAAGTGTATTTTCCTTTTTTAAAATGCCCCTTTTG